ACACATAAACTAAATCAATGCGCCCTAAAGCAAATGAAAACTTCCTCAATATCTTTGAGTTATGCCCACTGTTATTATATCATCCAAACATCCCGGGAATCCAAAGTTAAATCATCTTTCTGCAGTGGCCTTCCAACATAAAAACAGCACTAGAGCCACATCTGGGGTTTATTCCACAGTCAAAGTAGGCCAAAGCACTGTTCCAGACAGAAATTAGTGTCCTGCGATCCCCCCGCCAACCAACACAAGTCGAACAAATACATATCTTTGAGGAGAGATAAATATCCACCAATGTGCCAAATGAACATTTTGTTTGTCCGACAACAAAGTATAAACAAAGTCTTCCGTGACAATCCAGAAAATCCCGCTGAGCGTTGGCCGCTGCCCCAGAACAAGCATCTGTCAAAGCAAACAGACCGTGTTTTCAAAATATATAAATATATAAACAAACAAATTATGATCCATAGTTGAAATAAAAGAATAAAAAGCAAACATAGATTTAAAAAAAAACTGTGCAATCTCAACAGACATAAGCGAAACAATCATAGCAATTTTACTTATGGGCAAAAAGTGAAAGGAAAGAAAACATCAATGGCTTTTGGCAGTAAGAAAATATGGCATTATCCCAAACTGCAGAATATACGTTACAAAGATAATAACCTCAACGATAATGATGTTCAAGCCATTCAAACAATACAAATAACCTCTAACACTTAATTATATACAAAGTATCTTTAAGCAATGACACTCAACAGCTTCATTTGTATGTGCATTTACACACATGACTCTTCAAAAGAGGGACAACATTCACACTGTAGAAGGGAAGAATGTAAATGTATTCATAAATTATTTTTAAATATAAATTAGACAAATTCAATGGACCCTAGAAAAACAATGATTAATTTCAGGGCTGAACTGTGTTTTGTTTGTAGTGAAGGGTCAGTTTTAAAGTTCACCTATTATGCAAAATGCATTCGTTCAAGTCTTTTAAACATAAATACATATCCCCAAGTTTCAGGAAAAAATATTCTCTCTCTTTTTGTCCTGATCCATTTATATAAAAAAACCTGTATGAAAATGAGAAGATCAGCTTTGACCACTTTGTGATGTCACAATATTTTTTGGGGTTGTGCAACCATTAGCCAAAGACCAACCAAGGTAACC